ATCCAATCAATCTTTTCTTCATAATCATTTCTCTCATATGTTGAACTATCGTCTTCAATGCAGTATAAATAACCTTCTTCTAATAAGTCTTGTAATTGTCTTCCTTTTGCATTTGTTTTTCAGGAACCCATATGCTGTAATGCAGCATTTAGATCCCCTACTATCATAACATTGCTGTTTAACTTGTATAACTTGTGGAAGATATCACAGCATATTCTTGCTTTTGGCGGGATATAAACTGATGCGATAATAATTGATTTGAATAATGATTTTGTTGGAATTTCAATTGCAACAATTTCATTTTCACCAGTTGTTTCATTAAGAATTTCATTACATTTGATATGATCCTTGACAGCTAATAATACTCCTCCACCCGATTTTCCTACTCTATCATTTCTGAAAATGTTGTAACCCTTCAAGGAGAATGGTCGTTCTCTTTTAAGATTAGTTTCATTCACAGAGGTGATATCGTATGTGGAAAATTTGGCAAGAAGTTCGTCTTTGTGTTTGACTATTGAAGTGATATTAATGTGACATACACTAATTTTCATTATTGTCTGCCTACATATCTTTTTTGTTCGTTGTAGTGGCATCTAGTGAACTATTTGGTGACCGATTTCTTTTAACTGTTTTCGATGTTGCTTTCTTCTTGTTTGGTGGTTTTTTAATATCGTTGGTTGTTGTGGGCTGTTGTGGTGTTGAATTTGATATTGCAGATGTGGCGGTGTTTTTTGTTGCATGTTGTTGTACGTTTTGTTGAACGTTGATAACATGAATTTCATTGTCACTGTCTGTCATTGAATCATCGGATGTTTCAGTGGATATCACACCCATCATACTATCGACAGCTGCAATGGTCTTTTCTATCTTGCTAATACGTTGATGAAGAGATTTCATTAATCGATTTGTTGTTGCTTCAATAGTTTTCTCCATTTTCATGGATAGTATATTGACTAATGTATCGATTAAGTTGTTCGATGATGTGTTGAAGCCTTGTTGCGAATTTGATGATAACATCGGAAAATCGACAAGACTGTTGATGTTGTATTGTGTTGCTGTTAGTTGTGATGAAGAAGTGCTGTATTGTTGGACGGCCCTTAACATACGTTTTTCCTGCTCCTTGTAAATGGGGCATTCATTTGACGTTGCTAAGCGACTTCCTTTGCAATTGCAGCACTTCCATGTATCGGCTGCACCACTGCATTTGTCGACCTGATGATTGTCGCCACATCTTGCGCATGCTTGCTGTTTTGTCTTGCAGTACTTCGCTACGTGGTTGTATCTGAGGCACATGAAGCATTGTACTGGCTTTGAATTGTGTTTGGCTGCTTCAGCCACAAAGTGCATTAAATCGACCTGCAGCCCTGTTTGGACAAACGTGTTTCGATTTTTTGCATCATTGAATGTTACTTTTACTGTTTGAGTCGGTGTGTTTCGCTCTTTATTTTTTAATCGACTAACATCTGTAACATCGAGACCAACGTCTTTTAATGCTACCGTTATTCGATCCTCTGGTATTTCTAGATCGACTCGTTTAACAAAGGCTACTTTGTCTGTATCTTTTGTTTTTTGAATAGAACGAGGTAATACAATTTCGCCGATGTCTGACCATTTGTTGCAAGAATAACTGTAAACTCGTTTAATAGGCGATTAAATGAGCTTACGTCGCTTGCGTATAGTGTGAACATTCCTGTGCGACTTAGTTGGATGTTATTAACACGAATGTCTTTTAAGTGCTTCTTGATGAGGTCGCTTACCTTCATTTTGGCCAGTTTTCCTCCCTCCAAGATGAGCGGGGCTATAGGTGATTTTGTTTGGCTGGTGTTGTTAGCCAATGGTGTTTGCTTTTGACCTGGACCGGGTAATGTTTGCCCTGGATTTTGTCCATTTTTTTCCATATTAACCGTCTTCTTCTTGCTTGCACCCCCTCCTGAAAAGAATTTAATGATTTAATTTCATCTATTAATCAAGTTGGCGAAGCTATTGATGCTGATGTAGCTGTCACATATGTGGATACTGATGATGTGATTCTATTTAATGAAAAATCTCAAATTAATAATACAGACGATGTTTTTTTATCTGATTATTTCGTGGTAAAGTCAAACGCTTATGATTATGAAGATAAATATAAATCAAATTATTCATTAATATTCAATGAAAATAATAATTCAAATAGATTTCACACGTTAAAAAAACGAGTTGTAACTCGTTGGAACACTGTTTTAATTATGCATCGTTCTTATGCTGATAATATCCATGGTGTCGAAGCTATCCTTAGTCGGTTAAAATGTTTCGATTTAATATTAACTAAAGATGAAAATCAAGTTATTCAAGATTTAATCGAATTTCTTTCTATGTTTGAATCTACAACAACAATATTATCAGCATCGAAATCTTATCCAACTATAAGTTTGTGTTTATTATTAAGAATGGTAAGTGTTTAAAATTAAAATCAGGAATAATTTTACCCGAATACTATGCAATAAAAATTACGATCATACTTCATGAGAAAATTTTCTCAAGTGTTGCATGTGTTCGGTAGTTTCGAAATATTTTCCATGAATAATAAATTAGTATAATGCTTATTTCTAAACGACATTTTCATTGATTATTTTAGGAAATCGAATCTCTTTCACGTGTCGATGGAACAGAATCATTGGTCATTCAAGAAATGAAATCATTATTATCAGAAAATTTTAATAATAGATTTCCATTGATGCCATTATATATATGTGCATTTCTTCTTGATCCATCGTAATTAAAGATTGATACCCAGGTCGATGATTCCGGCCTCCGGAACCCAGAGGAAACGGTAAGAAACGGCTTGTTCTCTGGTGTATTCCGGCCGTTTCCGGGGTCTTTCCGACAGGATCCGACCGGAAGTCGCACCAGAACATGGAAGCAGTATTCCGGCCAGATTTCACCGTATACGGAACCGGTTCAAACCGAGCCGTATCCTTTACCAGAAACAAACAAGATCCGTAGGGGTTCCCGACAGAACCTTAGCGGAAGAACAACGGAACCGTACTTATCCCTGCGGCAAGATCAGCGGAAACGCTAAAAGCTTGCGGGAACATACTTCGGATCCAGTGGATATGAAAGTGAGACACAGTCTCAGTGAGACTATCCAATACTCACTTTTCAGCAAGTGAGACTATTTAATACTCACCTCTCAGTAGATGAGACTACCTAATACACACTTTTCAGCAAGTGAGACTATCCAATTCTCACCTCTCAGTAGGTGAGAGTAACGGTCGGAATATTGGAAGACCTAAAAGAGTATTTCGATTGGTCAAAAAGACTCTCAGAATAGTGGGAAGGTCACTCACTCTGTCCTTACACATTCGAGATTGATTTATGCAGTCTCAAAAAGACTCATATCCGCAGTGGAAAGCCTAGAGAAAGTATTTGAACGAGTTTTTTCGCGTAAAAGGAATGCATTGGTGCATAATAATATATCATTCGATAGC